AAAATTGTTAAAAAATTTTTTTAAATGGAGGTTGGGCCAGGTGCCAGTGGCGCTGTGGCTCAAGTGGTAGAGCGCTAGCCTTGAGCTGAAGAGCTGAGCGACAGCGCCCAGGCCCAGAGTTCAGGCCCCACAACCGGACCCCCCCAAAAAAAGAAAAAGAAATATGATCCTCAGATCTCAGCTTCCTGAGTAGGATTACTGGCATGAGTCATTCTTGTTCACATAGCTGTCATTTTTCTTTGCCTTTCTGGGTCTTTTCCTCCTGGGTAGGAAACAAGACTTTCCTGCAATGTGAATCTTATCATCTATCTGGCAAGTAGGGGTGTTATCTATGACTCCCAGGGAACTGATAATAGATTATAGCATTACATTGAGAAAGGAATAATGAGTTAACCCATCCCAAGTCACAGGAAGAGCTGATAGATCCAAGAGCTTTCCTATTTAGATAGGATTGAGATGGGGGAAGAGGGGTATCACTGGTTTTAGAGATAGAACTTTTGGATGTAAGTACTGACCTCTTTACTATCCACAAAAAATCTGTACATGCTGCTGGGCACTCGTGGCTCATGCCTATAATACTCAGGAGGCTGAGATCTGAGGATCAAGATTCAAAGCCAGCCTCAGCTAGCCCAGCTGCTAGCCTTGAATGAAAAAGCTCAGGGACAGTGCCCAGACCCTGAGTCCAAGCCCCATGATGGGGAAAAAAAAGTCTGTACATAACATCAACAACTAAAGGAGAGCTTACTGCTTTTGTGGTTGTTTACTTCTGGAATTTAGCTCGAATACAGCTTTCCAGTCTATATCTGTCTGTCTGTTTTGTCTGTCTGTCTGTCCATCAATGTATCTGTCCATCTATGTATCTATGTATCTGTGTATCTATCTATCTGTGTATCTATCTATCTATCTTCCTACCTACCATCCATCTATCCTTCCCCAGCAGCGCAGGTCCTGTTGTGGAAGAGCGGAGTGATGAGTGGATGAGTAGTCTTGGTCTGGGGGTGGGGGGTGGAGAAGACAGGGCCCCAGTGACAAGGGTGACTGGGAGCTTCAGAATTGTACTTCCCTGTAGAGAAAAAATCCTGAGCAGGAAATAGAGGTCCAAGTGAGGGAAAGAGCGGCGCCAGAGAAGCAGGTGGGTCAGGAGAGAACAGGTGCTTCAGGAGAGAAACACCTGAGTTGAGGGCGCTGGCACAGTGTGCGCCCAGGTTAACCTCACAGAGCGGCTGCCTGGAGCTGAACGGGGTAGGGGCTGGGGTTTGGGGCGGGGAGAGGCGTGGTCCTGCTGCTGTTTTTTTTTCCTGGTGGGAAGGAGATGGATCTGGCCTTGCTCTCTGCCCAGCCCCACTCTCATTCCGTCAGCTGAATCCAGAACCCACCGGGTCTCCAGCCGTGGAGACTGGGGGCTGGGTGGTCCACTGGAAGCAATCAGGCGGCGGAACCATGCCAGCCTGGGGACAACAGAGCGGGTTTGATTCTGAGCTGAGTCCAAGGGGGAGGAGGGGAGTAACGCTCACTCGATCCTCCAGATTTGATTTGAATCCCAGGTAATCTGAATCCCTGCTCCTTGCTTCCTGATCTGACAGTGGGACTCAAACTTGGGACTGTGAAATAAAGGCCCCACGTAAATAAAGCATTTAGGTCTGAGCTCACCACTTACCTAGTAAGTACCACACTCCAGGTTCGGTGCCACCCAGTCGCCTTCTGGGAGTGCCCGGGGCACTGGCCGGCCGTGTGTGCGCAAAATCTATTGGACTCGAGATGCTGGGCCGGCCTGGCCCAGGTCTTGGGCGGGGATGGGGGGGGGGGGGGGGGGGAAGGACACAAAGGCGGGCGTCGCCCCAAGCTCGGACAGCTTCCTCCACCTGCGGGACTCAGGGACAACCTATCCGTGTGGCCCCGGCGCTGGGCTGTCTGCGGGGGGGCTGCTTGGCCCCTAGAGCCTCCGGCCATCGCGGGCTGTGCGATTCGGGATGATTTCCAACGAGTGAGTGTTCCCGATGTCCCCAGGGCAGAGCAAGTGGGTGAGCGCTTGTGGGCAGGATGTGCGCGGGCAGACCCCAGTGGCGGCTGGCGACCTGAGTGGGGACTCCATGACCGCCCTCCCCTTCCCCCCCGCCCCCCCCCGCCCGTCCCGCCCTGTTGCAAAAACAGGTGCGCGGGGAGCGGCCAGGTTTGGGGGCCACTAAAAGCAGCCAGCGCGCACAGCCTGGGGATTTTGGAAACTTGCTTTTCACATCCAGCTGCTTGGTAGTTAGGTCCCTCTTTTCGGTTCCCTCCCCTGGTCCCTTTCTCCCACCACATCCCCTCCCCCCAGCCTGCCTGTAAGAGTTACCATAATATCAACAACAACAACAACAACAAAAGTCCAAATTGCAAGTTTAATTTTTGCCTTCTTTTCAGAGGGGCTAGGAAGGTGACTGAGTGGTAGGTAGAGTGCTTGCCTAGCATACAGGAAGCCCTGGGTTCCATTCCTCAGTACTATATAAACGGAAAAGCTTCAAGTAGAGCTGTGGCTCAGGTGGCAGAGTGCTAGCCTTGAGCAAAAGAAGCTCAGGGACAGTGCCCAGGCCCTGAGTTCAAACCCCAGGACTGGCACCAAAAATTATAATAAGCTTTAAGGATTAAAAACATATTACTGACCTTCCTTCCTTCCTTCCTTCCTTCCTTCCTTCCTTCCTTCCTTCCCTCCCTCCTTCCTTCCTTCCTTCTTCCCTCCCTCCCTTCCTCTTCTCCTCCTCCTCCTCCTTCTTCTTTTTCCTCTTTTTGTGAATCCTGGGGCTCTTGAACAGACTTTACTGAGGTGGTTGGCTTCTGAGATTCTCAGATCTCAGTCTCCTCTAAGTAGCAGGATTATAGGCATGAGCCATCCATACCTAGCAATTTCTCTCTCTCTCTCTCTCTCTCTCTCTCTCTCCCTCTCTCTCCTCTCATCTTTTAAAACTCTGGACAGGAGGCTGAGATCTGAGGATTACTGTTGGAAACCAATCAGGGCAGAAAAGTCTCCCATGAAACTCATCTCCAATTAACTACTCAAAAAAAACAAACTGGCAGGAAAGTCTGTGAGACTCTTATCTCCAATAAGCCACCAGAAAACAGGAAGTGGCACTGTGGCTCAAGTGGTAGAGTGCTCACTGTGAGCTGAAGAGCTCAAGGACAGTGTCCAGGCCCACAGCTCAAGCCCCACAACCAAAAAACATAACCAACATAACAAAAAAACTAAACAAAAAACTCAGGTCTTCCACCGCCATTGTAAGAGTGAATTCTATAAATAATAGTATTGGGGAGGGAGAGGGGGGAGGGAGCAAATTTAAGAATCTCCTGGGTTTGACCCGTTTTCAAAAGCTCCCTGTCATAAAAGAGACTATGGAGGGACCCCATTAATGAAAGGGTAAAATTTGGGGGTGGGTGGATGCAACATGGCCCTTCGTATTCTAGAATAAAGACCTGCAGGTCATTGCCTCTTGAAAAAAAAAAAAAAACTCCCCACAAAAACAACAAAAAAAACGACCAAACCCCCCTCCCCCCAAAAAAACCCCCAAAACCCTCTGGAACAGCTGGGTATGGTGGGTAAACACCTGTAATCCTAGCTATTTGGTAGAAGGTCAGGGGCAGCTTGGCAATTTAACAAGACTTTGAAAATAAATAAATTATTTATTTATTTTTTGGTTGGTCATGGGCCTGAACTCTGGGCTTGGGCGCTGTCCCTCAGCCCTTCAGCTCAAGGCTAGCGCTCTACCACTTGAGCCACAGCGCCACTTCCGGCTTTTTCTGCTTATGTAGAGCTGAGGAATCGAACCCAGGGCCTCAAGCATGCAAGGCAACCACTCTACTGCTGAGCCACCTTCCCAGCCCTGCAGTTTCTTTTTTGAGGGGGCTGGGGGCCAGTCGGGCTTGAATTCAGGATCTGGGTGCTATCCTTGAGCTCTTTTGCTCAATGTTAATGCTGTACCCTTTAAGCCATAGCACCACTTCTGGTTTCCTGGTGGTGAATTAGAGCTAAAAATCTAATGGACTTTCCTTCCTGAGCAGTCTTTGACCTATGATCCTCAGATATCAGCTAGGATTACATAGGGTTACAGTAACTAGGATTATGTGCATTAGCCACCAGCACCTAGCTGAAGATTGCTGTTTTTTTTTTTTTTTTTGGGGTCCGGTCGTGGGGCCTGAACTCTGGGCCTGGGCGCTGTGCCTCAGCTCTTAAGTTCAAGGCTAGCGCTCTACCACTGGAGCCACAGCACCACTTCCGGCTTTTTTTTTTCTTTTTGCTTATGTGGTGCTGAGGAATCGAACCCAGGGCCCTAGGCATGCGAGGCAAGTGCTCTACCACTGAGCCACCTTCCAGCCCCAAGATTGCTGTTTTATGGCTAATCAGGCCCTGGGTCCAATTCCTTGGTACCACATGCACAAAAATAAATAAAACAGATTGTTTTGGGGCTGGGAATGTGACTTATTGATAGAATGCTTACCTAGAATGCATGAAGCCCTGGGTTCGATTCCTCAATACCATGTAAACAGAAAGGCTTGGAAGTAGCACTGTGGCTCAAGTGGTAGAGTGCTAGCCTTGAGCAAAAGAAGCTCAGGGACAGTGCTCAGGACCTGAGTTCAAGCCCCGGAACTGGCAAAAAAAAAAAAAAAGCACAGAGCCAGGTGCTTGTTGCTCATGCCTGTAGCTCCTATCTACTCAGGAGGCTGAGATCTGAGGACCACAGTTCAAAGCCAGCCCAGGCAGGAAAGTCTGTGAGACTTATCTCTAATTAACCACCAGAAAACCTGAAGTGGAGCTGTGGCTCTAAGTGACACAGCACTAGCCTTGAGCAAAAGAGCTCAGGGTCCATGGGCTGGGAAGGTGGCTCAGTAGTAGCATGCTTGCCTTGCATGCATGAGGCCCTGGGTTCGATTTCTCAGCACCCCATAAGCAGAAAAAAATCCATAAGTGGTGCTGTGTCTCAAGTGGTAGAGTGCTAGCCTTGAGCTGAAGAGGTGAGGAACAGCGCCCAGACCCAGAGTTCAGGCCCCACAACCAGCAAAAAAAAAAGAGCTCAGGGTCCGGCTGGAAATGTGGCTTAGTGGTATAGAATGCTTGCCTACTATGCCCCAGGACTGACCAAAAAAAAAAAAAGAGCTCAGGGTCCATACTAAGGTTCTGAGTTCATGCTCTATGAGCAACCAGAAATAAACAAACAAAAAAGGACACACACACACACACACACGTGCATGCACTGGTCCTAGAGCTTGAACTGCGGCTTGGCTAGAGCTTGGCTTGCGGTCCCTGAGGTTTTTGGGTGCTCAAAGATAGCACACTACTACTTGAGCTATGGCTCACTTCTGCCTTTTGGTGGTTAGTTGGAGATAAAAGTCTCATGGACTTTCCTGCCCAAACTGGCTTCAAACCATGATCCTCAGATCTCAGCCTCCTGAGTAGCTAGAATTACTGGTAAGAGCTACCAATGCCCAACCCTCCACCAAAAAGCCAGAAGTAGAACTGTGGCTCAAGTGGTAGAGTGCTAGCTTTGAATAAAAAGGCGCAGGAACAGCACCCAGACACTAAGTTCAATCCCCTGGACTGGCAAAAAAAAAAAAAAAAGAGTTTCATGGACTAGAAATTTCTGTCCCTGCTGGCTTCAAACTGTGATCCTCAGATCTCAGCCTCCTGAGTAGGTAGGGTTAGGTGAAAGCCACTGGCACTGAACCCTGCTAACCCTAAGGTTTTTTGGTTTTGTTTCTTTCTTTTTTTGTTAGTCCTGGGGCTTGAACTCAGGGCCTGAGCATTGTCCCTGAGCTTCTTTTGCTCAAGGTTAGCACTCTACCACTTGAGCCACAGCTCCACTTCTGACCTTTTCTCTTTATGTGGTACTGAGGAGTTGAATTCAGGGCTTCCTGCATTCCAAGTAAGTACTCTAACACTAAGCCATGTTCCCAGCCCCCTGAAGTATTAAACATTTTATTTTTATTGTTAATATTATTTGCCAGTCCTGGGGCTCAAACTCTGAGCCTGGGCACTATCCCTGAGCTTCTTTTGCTCAAGGCTAATACTCTACAACTTGAGTCACGGTGCCACTTCCAGCTGTATATGTGGTACTGAGGAATTGAACCCAGGGCTTCATGCATGCTAGGCAAGCACTCTACCAATGAGCCACATTCCCAGCTATTCCCCTTCTCCCCGTTAAGGCCAAGGCTGTACAATTTGAGCCATAGCTCTACTTCCCTCCTTTTTGAAGCTTAATTGGAGATAAGAATGTCAGAGACCGGGCATCCTTAGCTCACACTAATAATCCTAGCTACTCAGGAGGTCGAGATCTGAGAATCTTGGTTTAAAGGCAGCTTGGGCAGGAATAGCTATGAGACTTTTATCTCCAGTTAACCACCAGAAAACAGAAAGTGGAACTGTGGACTTAAAGAGCTAGAGTACTAGCCTTCCTTGAGCAAAAAAGCTCAGGTCCTGAGTTCACACACACACACACACACATACGTCTCAAGGATTTTTCTTGCTGGAGCTGACTTCCAACCACAATCCTCAGAGCTCAGCCTTGGAATAGCTTGGATTGCAGGCATGAGCCACCTGTCCAGCTCTTTTCCTTATTTAGAACAAATATTAGATTATCCTACTAGGTTCCAGATACTCGATCTTCCTCCTCCTCCTCCTCCTCCTTCTTCTTCTTCCTTCTTCTTTCTCCTTCCCCTGGGGCTTGAACTCAGGGCCTGAACACTGCCCCTGAGCTTCTTTTGCTTAAGGCTAGCACTCTCCCACTTGAATCACAGTGTCACTTCTGCCTTTTTCTGTGTATGTGGTGTTGAGGAATCGAACCCAGGACCTCATGCATGTAAGGCAAGCACTTTACCACTGAGCCATCTTGCCAGCCCCCTGATTTTCTTTTGCTCAAGGCTAGTGCTCTACCACTTGAGCCACAACTCTACCCTTAGCTTTTTGGTAGTTTTTTATGGAGATAAGAATCTCACAAACTTTCCTACCCAAGCAGGCTTTGA